TGGTTGCGGTCCGTTGCCGGACACGAAAAAAAGACAAAAAGGAAAAAAAAATAAAAATAAAAATAAAAACATGAGAAACAGAATGTTTGAAAATAGTTGCAAAACACACATCTGATAAAAGTCTTGTCTCCACATATTTCAAACAACTAATGTAAAGAAACTGGAACCCTCATGTGTTATTGATGGGAATGTAAAACAGTGCAGTCAACAGTTTGTCACTTTCTTAAAAAATTAAACATAGTATTTACTGTATGACCCAGTAACTACCCTTCTAGGTATCTACCCAAGAGACACGATAACATATCCACACAAAGACTTGAACGTGATTGTTTATAGCAGCATTATTCATGATAACCAAAAAATGGAAACAAATGTCCATCAACTGGTGAATTGATAGACAAATGTGGTACTAGTTTTAGAACAATGGATACTATTTATCAATAGTACAATGGATACTATTCAGCAGTAAAAAAAAAAGAATGATCTACTGACACCTGTTAAAATGTGGATGAACCTCAAAACCATTATGCAAAGTGTAAGAAACCATATATAGAGACCACATATTGTATTATTTCATTTATATAAAGGTCCAGTAAAGGCAAATTTATAGAGACAGATAGGAATAGTGATGGCCTAGGATGGTGGGTGACAAATGGGCATGAGGGATTTTATTGGGAGAGGAAAATATTCTAAAACTGATTTATGGTGATGGTTGCACTACTGGATAAATTAAGTAAAAATCATTGAATTGTATAATTAGAGTGGGTGATTTTTACTATATGCAAACATGTCTCAATAATGTGCTTTTTAAAAAGCAAATGTGGGAAATAATATAGCATTATGTTTATCCAGATGTCACAATATTTATATTACCTTTTTAATAAAGCCATTAAAATGTGAAGATAGATTTTTAAATTTTTAGTTATTTTGAAACCTTAATACTATATTCTGTAAACAGCCAAGTGGAACTTCATTTCAGACTAATATTAGCATGTGTTTGTACACACTTTTTTATGCAACCATGTTTTCCTAGACTTAAAAACAAAGCAGAAAATCTATATCTTCCTTATTGTTGCAAATTATTTGTACCCCATAGTTTTCTGGCTGTTAGAGATTTGACATTATCTGTAAAACATTTGATGAAAAACACCAAAATCGGTTAAAATTAGTTTTATTTCCCATTTCTTCACTTACTATATTTTTCTCATTTTGTTTGTTTTGTTTTGTTTTAGATCACTGTGTCCACTACTATGATCTTCGTAACACTAAACAACCAATCATGGTATTCAAAGGACACCGAAAAGCAGTCTCTTATGCAAAGTTTGTGAGTGGTGAGGAAATTGTCTCTGCGTGAGTATTACTTTCTTCAGAGGTTGAACTTAATACAGAGCACTGTCATCATTTACAAGTTTGTAAAGTCACTGTGATGTACGTAAAGAATAACATTGGAGTGTATGTACTTTTTCTTAAATAGTAGATTTTTATATCTTGTTCAATTAAAATACATGTATATTCTGGTCTGTATTACTCACTTTTATATGTTGTTTGTGAATGAAATCCTGAAGACACTAGTTAACTAATACTTCTAAGTTTGATTGCATTTGAACTTAGGATGGTATTTCAGCTATTGCTTCTCCTAATGAAGAGAGAAGCAGCATAGTTGATGCAATAGAAAGAACTATTTTATTTATTAAAGCCATCTAATATATTATTGTATATTTATCTACTTGCATTACAGTTGTAGAATTATTTTTGGTTTTAAGTAATATTTGGTTGGCTTTTATACTGACATGTTGATCTCTATATTTTGAAGAGAACTTTTTTTTTTCTTTTATAAAGGCCATAAAACCTTCTGAACTAGAGAATCATTATGTAAGCTTCTAGTTCTTTTTTAACTTTGTTTGAAGATAATAAGATGTCAGCAAGGTAAATAAATCTCAATTGTCAAAATATTGGCCAAGCTCTTCTACCAACATAGGCAGTCCCATATTTTGGTTATCCATTTCATAGTTCTGTTTATTTTTTATTACCCTAGTAAATACTCACTTAATTTCTGTCTTTTTCATATCTACTATTTCTTCTCAAGTTTAATGATAGTTTTCTTCTTTTTTACTTAGTTTCTTATCTCTCAGGAAATTATTAATGCCAGTGCACTGTATTTGGCATCTCCCACCACATTTACCTCTACACTGGTTACTCTAAATAAGAACTGGGTAATTTGAATTGATTTAACAGGTAATTTGGATTGAGTTACAAAAGGGGGGGGGGAAGAAAGTGGGAACTGAGTTTTCCAAGTGGAGGTAATATAGATAATTAGTTAACAAATTTAAATGGTAACCAGTCAAAAAGTATCCCATCTTTAGGAATAAAAATAATGGGCAATAAATAATTAAAATATTTTTCAGAGTCAAATATGGATGGTGGAGTATATGGCAAAAATACTTTTCTTCATTTTCAGATTTATAAATGTTAAATCAGTTAGTTTGACTTCACTTAACTGAAGTATGTGTTTACTTAATTGAATTGCATAAATTGGAAATCTTAGTTTACCCCATTAAAGTGGATGTGTAATATATACTTTCAATTATCTTTTTCCTTCTTAGTTTCTATAAATCATAATGATTTTTTTTCTTGGACAGATTTGGACCTTAAAAGTATATAGAACAAATTCATTCATAGGTGTATTTAGAAATATTAAAACTAATGTCAAAATATATTTTAAAATATAAACATAAAGCAATATTCAGTGTACTATTTATAAGCAAAAGAAAAATTAAAACAGATATCTATGAATAGATACTATGTTGAAAAAATGATGAGAAGCAATGGAGAGTTATTAAAAGAATTAGGAGTTTGGCCTCTGAAATCAGACAGTTTAAATCTTGGCTATACTATTTATGAGCTGTGGTACCTTGGAAATGTTCCTAACCTTCTAAACCTCAGTTTTTTTATCTCTAAAATGAAGCTATTAATAGTACTTACCTTATGTTGTGAATCTTTAAATAAAATGATTTATTAAAACCTTTAACATAGTGTCCTATTCAGTGAATGTTAGAGAAAGAGAAAAGATAATTTATTGTGTAGTTATTAATAGAGAGATGTATTTATTTTACAGAGAAAAATGTAAAACAAGTTGTTCAATGTGGGGAAGTAGTTTACAAAATAATTAGTATGATCCATTTTCTTTTCAACAAAAAGAGAAAAATTAAAATACGGTATTTTTTTGAAGTCCTAAAATTATCTTTGTATGTTAAGATTACTAGTGATTATTACATTCAATTATTTTTTGGTAAATAACTACATTTGCATATTCTTTCTGCAAAGATAAACTAGTTTGTATAGGCCTTTCAACTAAATACCACACTTATAGGAATGACTGAACTGCAAAACTAGTTTAAATTCAGTGTACTAATATAATTCAATAGTTGGAAAATAAATCAAATCAAGAGGAACAAATGTATCCCTGAAATTAAGCCCAGATCCCAGTAAAGTTCTTTCACTGTTTTATGGTGGTGGTTTGGTGGTATTGATACCTAATGTTTATTGAGCACTTCCTATATGCCCAGGCATTATTGAAAGCATTTTAAATGAATTTATTTAATTTTCACAATATCTCATAGGATTCATTTAAATCTATAAAGTGGGAATTATTATATTTCACATTTAACTGATGAAAAACTGAGGCTGGTGAGTTTTCCTAACTTGCCCAAGGTCCAAAGCAAATTAATGGCAGATTGAACATTCTAACTCAGACCATCTGGCTCCAGAGTCTGCATTTTTAACCACCAAACTGGATTGCCTCTAATTAGTAGTAATGAGTTTAATGCCATGAAATCTTAAATATGTTCTAATTCTGTGTTTACCTCAGCTCAACAGACAGCCAGCTAAAACTGTGGAATGTAGGGAAACCATACTGTCTACGTTCCTTCAAGGGTCATATTAATGAAAAAAACTTTGTAGGCCTCGCTTCTAATGGAGATTATATAGCTTGTGGTAAGTAATATCTTTAGATATTGAATTCAGTTAAAATAGATTACATACTAAGTCAGGAAATGGTCTGTACACTCAGAAGGTAGCATAATAGACTTGATACCTTAGCACTATGAATTTTCCTTAGGTTGTACTGGAAGAGCATTAGTCCTCCACTGTATAATGGAGCACATCCCTGAACACATGAAATATCGTATAAGATTTTTAACTGTTTAGTAGTTGTCCTCCATTATAACAATTTCTATAGATATTACATACAAGACAGAAAATATTAATCTCTGCAGGGCTGGCCTCTTAGCTTAGTTGATTAAAGTGCTGTCTTGTAACAGCCAGGTCAAGAGTTCATATCCCTTTACCGGACAGCTGCCAAAAAATAAATGAACAGAAAAGAAAGTATTAATTTTTTCTAATAATGTTTCTAATTTTAGAGACATCGTTTGTCATCTTAAGCTTAATATTCATTTCCTTCTATCTACCATTCTCTTCATTAAGCAGTCTGGGTAGCATTGACTATTCTAGGCTTTTATTATTGATAATTTATACAAATTTAAATCAGAAGTAGAAAAATAAAATTTGATATTATTCAAATGCTGTACTGTATCTAATGCCTGAATATATGAGCTTTCATCAGTACTTTTAGAGGACTTAGGCTTTATTCAATAAAATTGACTCTCTTCACATGTGTTGACTCTCTTCACATGTGTATGAACCTAAGCACCACCAAACCAAATATCTGGCACAATGATCCTACCTTGATATAGACTGTTTAAAAATATAAGTTTATGGACCACTAATTTAATAAAGTAATGCCTTTATTGGGGAATGGGAAATGAATTATGTAGGCTATTAAAATTTGCCTGTGTAAGTGCTGACACTTTCTTTTTCTTCTCTAGATAGAAATCTTTCCAAATGTAATTTAAAATTCTTGCTATAATAACATATTTGTGATTCTACTATAGACCTCTGCTATAAGTGATTTTTTTATGATAATTGTAACTTTAGAATTATCAGTATTGTTTTACCATTTAACATTGATTGTTTGGATTAGTAAAGTATAGCTTTAGTCCAAGAATCCTTTTCTCACATGATTTCCAATTGGTACTGTGACCTAGCTTTACAAATTTGACCCTAGGAGATTATTGATCTTTGAGCTAAAACTTTGGGAGATAATTATTGTCTGAATGTGATGTCCTAATACCAAGTTCTCCCATTCTAAAAAAAATTATTATTATTTATTTTTAGGAAGTGAGAACAACTCCCTTTATCTGTACTATAAAGGACTTTCTAAGACTTTGCTAACTTTTAAATTTGATACGGTCAAAAGTGTTCTGGACAAAGACAGAAAAGAAGATGATACAAATGAATTTGTTAGTGCTGTGTGCTGGCGGGCACTACCAGATGGGGTAAGTTTTCATATCAGTTTTTTCACCTTGGTGTCTCATATAATACTTTATGTATACACAGCATTTTTTTGTTTTTTACTTTAAAGTATAAGTTGGCATGTGTGATGTGTATTTTCTTTTTTGCTTAGTATTGTATCACCAAAGAAAATAGGCATTAAAGTAATAGTTGAAATGTCACTAATGGAACAATGTCATGCTGACATGGTGTTCCTCCTATGGACCTATAACATCTTGTATGTACTCGCTTATAGCCATTATCACATTGTCTCTTTATGTCTCTCCTATAAGTCTGGAAATTCCTCCAGAGTACACACACTGTGTCTCATTTTCCTTAGTGATCATATGCAGTATGTGCTCAATAAATACTCAGCTGAGCTAGTATTTTAATAATAAGAAAAAAAAAATCGATGTAGGTAAAGGAGAGTAGCCTATACGTGCCCTAATTAAATACTTTTTCAGTGTAGAATTGCTCGCTATAAAATACATTTCTATAAGATATTTAAACATATTTAATTTCTTGACAAGAAAGTTACATTATTAGGTTATGAAAAAAGCTTCCTCAAATTTTCACTTATTCATACATTTTAATGTATAAGTTCTTCCATAAGTTATATGAAGAAATAATGCTTTTTACTATCTTGATTTATGTAAACATTAGTTGTTAGTGTCAACTTCCTAAAAATAGCTTTTTATGTGCTTACTTGGTTGTTTTTGTTCTCTAAGTAGAATTAGAAAAGTTGGACAAAGTATATGTATTTTAAAAACAAAAACCTGTTTGAAGGCATTGGAAAGCAAACAAGACAGAAAAGAATTACCAGACTAGGAATGAGAGCCTTGGCTTTTGAGTCTACTTTTCCCCTGGGAGCATTTGCCAATTTTGGTGGGGTGGGCTGAAAGCACTAATGGCAGCTTCACAGGGTCACAGGAATTGGAGTCCAGTGCCTATCACTGCATGAGAGTGACTCACTTTGTTTTAGATCCCCAAAGGGATGTAATCTAGGGTAATCCGGTTGAAGATAAGTCTTCACAGTGATTGCCACTCAACTCTAATCATATCAATCCCTGAAACTGAATTGAGGTGACACTGAATTGCCAGTGTCCACAGCTAGCAAACTTGAATTCATTCTGAAAAAAGATAATAACATCATCTAAGGACTTCATTTATTTTCTCAGTTTTCCAAATACAATTACTAGGGCACAATCACAAATAAACAAACATAGGAAAAGACAAGATAGCATGAGTGAAACCAGCATAAGCAACAGATAGGAGAAACAGAATCACAGCAGCTTTGGATATTGGAGTTATCGACATAGCTTGAAAGTAACCGTGCTTACAAGATGAAAGACAAGATTGAGCATTTTAACTGGGAACTGGAAACTATTTTAAAAATGAAAATCCTAGAGCTGAAAAAATATAATCATCAAAATTAAGAATTCAGTGGATGGGTTGAATGGAAGACAAAGTAGAAAAAAGAATTAATGAACTGAGAGGTAAATTAGGAGAAATTATACAGATGGAAGCATAGAGAGACAAAAATGATTTTAAGAAATATGGAAAAGGAGGGTCAAGTAAAAGCATTTGACTTATTTAGCAGGAGACCTAAAGGGAGAGAAGAGAAATAATATAGCAGGAGCAAATATTAGAAGGGATTATTTGAGGACTATACGGAGTTAATGAAATACATCAAGCCAGAAATTCAGTAAACCTTTGAATTGCAGAGAATGAATGACTTGAAATCTGCAATGTTAGTAAAGGTTGAACATCATTCCTGGACTTGAACAGACCTAGGCCTGCCTGAAAAAAAATCTGGCCTTGGGTCTGTCTGCTCATGGCATTATTTCCTTGGGAATATACTGAGTTAAGACGAATATGGAATGTTATGTGCTAGGGGCTGGTTATCTCTTAAATTTACTTTGAGGGCTGGCCCGGTGGCGCACTTGGTAGAGTGCGGCGGCGCTCCCGCCGAGGGTTCGGATCCCATATAGAGACCGGTCCGCTCACTGGTAGAGCGCGGTGCAGGCGCGACACCGAGGGTTGCGATCCCGTTGCCGGTCATGAAAAAAGACAAAAAGGAAAAAAAATAAAAATAAAAAATAATAATAATAAATTTACTTTGAAACCCCATCTGTGGTATTGCATCTGCACTGAGAGAACTGTGACTTGGCATAGTAGCCTCACATCTGTGCAAATTGAATAGTGTAAGACTGGAAAGAAACCAAGGCACATCTCTGTATTTAAGTGAACCACATATACCTTAACTGTCTCTGGCAACAGTGTGTACTCTTTGCATGGGTGGAGAGAGGTCCAAGAACTATTCATGTGATTGGTTGCTTGGCATCCTGACGAGTTTGAAGATACTGTGCATGCTGAATTTTCTATCCTATATTCTTCTATAAAGCTAACTAACTTAGGGCTAGATTAAAGCCATTTGTGTCTGATCCTTTGACCCCTGCTGGTGGTGAGATAATCACACCTTGGTACAACATAGTAAAACTGTTGAAAGTAAGTAAAATATAAAGGATTGTTTTTTTTCCCTTTAAACCATCAGTTTCTTTTTTTATTATTATTATTGCCAAATAATAACTGTATATATTTATGGGATACAATGTAAAGTTTTGATATTTTATACATTATGGAATGATTAAATCAAACTAATTAACATAACCATCACCTCACATAAAATCTGTTCACTTAATTTTACAATACTCATTACATTATTATTAACTAGAGTCTCCACGCTGTGCAATAGATTTCAAAAATGTATTTCTCCTGCTTAGCTGAAACTTTGTACCCTTTTACTAACATCTTCCCAACCTCCCACCCCTTACCTCTGGTAACCACCATTCTACTCTCTACTTCTATGAGTTTAACATTTTTAAACTCCACATATAAGTGAGATCATGCAGTATTTGTCTTTTCATGTGTTGCTTATTTCATTTAGCATAATGTCCTTCAGGTTCATCCATGTTGTTGCAAATGAGAAAATTTTCTTCTTTTTTGAGGCTGAATAGTATTTCATCGTGTATATATATTGCATTTTCTTTATCCACTCATTTGTTGATGGACAGTCAGGTTGATTCCATATTTTGGCTATTGTGAATAATGATGCAATGAAGATGGGAGTGCAGATGTTTCTTCAGTATACTAATTTCAATTCCCTTGGATATACAGGTGCTCCTTGGCTTAAGATGGAGTTATATCCCAACAAACCCGTCATAAGTGAAAAATATCTTAAGTTGAAAATGCATTTAATACTCTGATAAACCCATTATAAAGTCAAGCCATTGTTAAGTCGGGGACAGTCTGTATACCCAGTAGTGGGATTGCTGGATCATAGAGTAGTTCTGTATTTAGTTTTCTGAGGAATCTTGACATTGTTTTTCCATAATGGCTGTTCTGATTTACATTTCTACCAACAGTGTTACCAGGATTCCCTTTTCTCCACATCCTCACCAACACTTGTTATCTTTTTGCCTTTTTGATAATAGGAATTCTAAAAGGCATATTTTATCATGGTTTTAATATATATCTCCCTGATGATTAATCATGGTGAGCATGTTTTCATATAGTTGTTGGCCATTTGTATATCTTCTTTCAACAAATGTCTAGTCAGATCCTTTGCCTATTTTTAAATGGGTTATTTTCTGCTATTGAGTTGTTTGAGTTCTTCGTATATTTTGGATTAACCCAACACATTTGTTGGTTGGCAAATATTTTTTTCCCAATCCACAGTCTTCACTCTGTTGTTTTCTTTATTGTGCAGAGCTTTTTAGTTTGATGCAGTCCCGTTAATCTATTTTTCTTTTTGTTGCCTGTGCTTTGGGGATTGTATCCAAAAAATCATTGTCCAGACCAATTTTGTGGAGTTTTTTCCTTGTTTTCTTCTAATAACTTTACAGTTTCAGGTCTTAACATTTAAGTCTTTAACCCATTTTGAGTTGTTTTTTGTATATGGTGTGAGGAGGTAAGGGCCCAATTTCATTCTTCTGCATGTGGATATCCAGTTTTCGTAACATCATTTATTGAAGAGACTGTCTTTTCCCTGAAAGAAGGATTCTTAAAAGAAGAACGATTGAAAACATTGTCAATTAGCCTGACAGCCAGTTTGTCAATGAAACAATGGAAGCCAGAAGTCCGTGGAATTAGATATTCAGTGTGTGAAAGAAGACACCTACCAACCTAGAATTCTACATCCAGTAAAAATCGCTCAAGACAAAGGTATAATAAAGACATTTTCAAGTAAATAAATCTGAAGAATTTGCCATCAGCAGACCTACACTAAAGAAAACTTTAAAGGATATTCTTAAGTCAGAAAGAAAAAGATCCCAGATGTAGGCTGTATGTTTTTTATTAACATTGCTTTATTTAGAGACTGAAGTTAGGTAAAGGTGATTATATGTGTTCTATATATGGATTCTTCTATGGCATGACTCTTATCTGAAACCACTGGAATGAAATAAAAAGGTTTTGAGTATGCAAATTAATGTTTGTCCCTAAGTGATTATGTCTGTGTAAAAAGGGACACCGTATTTTTGTTGGGGCAGATCCTGAATTCATGGTAACTTCTGATAAAGCTGCATACCCTCATCATCGTTTGTCAGCTCTGAATAACATCGGACATACTTATCAAGTCACCAATTCTAAATGAACGGCTAATGGTAAAAGGCAGTACTTGTAATGGACATTTAAGTCTCCCTTAGCTCTTCAAAAGTGAACAGAAATGTACAGTCTATCCTCAGAAAATGCATTGGTCATTAAGGTTGGACATTTTACTGTTGTGGCTTGAGACATCAGGAATGATATTAAAAGTTTCTGTAGCTCTAGGGTAAGTGGGGCTAGGATAACAATTTCCCTAATTTCCCTCCCTTGAAACCAAGTGCAGCAAAACTTGGCTTGCGAAACCATGTTATCATTCATTCTATGAAAATTATGACTGATTTGTTTTCAGTCATATAATGAAATTTATTCTTTCTAATCTTATTTTTAACTAATAAAACTTTTAAATTATATAAGGAAACATTTATTCCAAAATGTTTTAACTAAAATTTGTGTTCTTAAGCAGATCTTTACCTAGATTTCTCATGATTCCTATTCTTTAAAAATATTTGCTGAATGAATTAATATACTGCCTTGTATTATTTGTGTTCATGTACTATTGTTTGTGTCTCATAACCTGCAATCTCCTTGAAAAAAGGCATCATAGTACTCTGAGTAAGAGCACAGACTTTGGAGCCAGGCCACATAGGTTCAAATCTCAGATTCCCCACTTATTAGCTCTGTGTCCTTGCTCAAGTTCCTTAACCATACCGTGCTTAAGCATCCTTATCTGTAAAGTGTTCATGATAATAACAACCTACCCCTTAGGATTGTAATATTAAAATGAGGTAATACACTTAAAGTGTTTAAAACAGTTTTTGGCACCTAGTAAGAGCTACATAAATGTTTGCTATTAGCATCATTCATTTTTTAATTACCCCTAGCATTATGCAACTTATTTGTACATAATGCAAAATTAATTTATAATTTTTGTAATGAATGATATAACCCTTCAGCCTTGTCCTTTATCTTGTTTGTTGCATAACTAATTAAATAGTAATTAATTGAAACCAAAGAAATTCTGAAGTAGAAGCGGGAAGTACTTCTAATATCTAGTATGCTCACTTGAAACTCAATGGCATTATCGAGATTATACCAATTTTAATTTTTTTTAAGAAAACTAGGTTTTCTAACATGACTCATTCATGTGTAATTATGTCATTATTTAACAATTACCATTTTGCCCTTTGGGATATAATCTTCAACATATTTGACCTGTTTTCAAAAGAAACAAAATTTTTAAATGTGTACAGCTATAAGGGAGTTGGAATTTATCATTGGCTTAATATTCATGTTAGATTTATAGTATGTTTTTCCTTCCCTTTCTCCATCATATTAGCACTATTTCACAATTCAGTCTTCTCTCAAAAAGCCATACCTATTTTTCCAATTTGTATAAGTTTTATCTAAGAGATAGGCATCCTTCTTTGACTGTTTAGTAAACACTTTTTGTATAAGGCATCAGATTACACTAGAGAAGTAAAGCATATTTGAGAAGCCACATAACACTGTAAACCAGTCTGCTTTCATTAAAGTACAGAATACATCTATAATAAAGTGTGTTTATAACAGTGGTTCTCAAACCCAACTGATCATCAGGATCACCTGGGGATCTTTCAAAACACAGTAACAAAATAGTTCTGTTTTTAGACCCATGAATACATACTTTGAGGGAGGAATGGAGGGAGGTGGGTAGAGATGTACATTTTGAAAACTTCCCTAAGTCTCCTTGGGAAATTACGTGAACAATCAAATTTGAGAACAGATATATCGTGTGATCCCTGGGAAGAGGTTTATTATACACAGTAACCAAGAGACCTAAATGCTTCTCAAGCATCTGCTAGAGAGAATAATTGAGATTATGAGTACCTGATGTCTGTTAGATTTTGCTGCTCCCTCACCCTCCTCAGGAAGAAACACAAACCAAAAAAGTAAGATAGGGTTTTTATTCCTTTTCTTTAATTAAAATTTCTAACCTTAAAATATATTGGCTTTCTACACTTATAAGATTTCTTATCCTTAATTCCTCAGTAAACAGAAGACAACATAGGAGCTTCTTCTCTTTCTTTCTTCCTTCCTTTCTTCAACTCTGTTTCTCTTCTTCCTTTTATCTTTTCTTTCCTTTCTTCTTTTCTCTAGCTGGATGGTTTATAACACTTTAGAAAATTTCCCTGACTGGAAGAGGGCCAATCAATGAACTCTTGTCTGTCTTGGGAGTGGAAAGAAGGAAGATTCTGAGCATGGACCCTGACTTGCAGGAAGACTGTGGCTCCCATCTCCTTCTGAGTGCCCCAATCTTCCCTTAATGT